AAGCACCTGTTCCGTTACCAGGACAACCAAAAGGCAGGCACCGAAGGATGCTGAATAGGCTGACTATTCTCGAAGGCTCTGGGTGCTCTGCCTGAAGATCTGTTTTTAGACCGGTGAGCTTTTGTCTCTTTAATTTCTTTAAAAAAAAAAATGATTTCCCCTTTTTCTCACTTTGACAAACAGAAGGCCTTTCTCTTATAATTGAAAGTGAGGGAAAAATGGTTTAAGTCTTTTGAATCTGCCCCTCTGCTGCAGGCGCCGTGGGCTCCGTCAGGCAGATGCTGGGAGCCACCTGGGCTGTGTGTCCTCCCATGTTCTCTTTTGGGGGCTTAGCTGGAAAATGGGGGGTGGGGGGAAGCCTGGAAAAGCTCAAAAAGCTTCTCTTTCCAGGATCTGTGCCCAGGAGTAACTGATGTTCCAGAAGAAATTAAAGCAACTATAAATTTCCTGGGCTGAATTCAAACACAAAAGTGTTAAAAAGCTTATCCCTGTGTCTACACAGACAGGATGGGGTGGGGGCTAGGGGGACTGCCTTTGCACACACTCTGGTCAAGAAGTGCACTTGATTTATTTGCAAGAAAGTGGGTCTAGAAGTGTCCTGAGTACAGAGGAAAAAGCTACAATGCCTCATGAAGGGGGAGGGACTCGAAGGACTCAGGGACCCCCATCACCAGGGGAGGCAGGTGGGGGGCAGTCTTGGTAAGGTCATTCTCACTCCTCAATGATGAATGCCCCTGAGTTTTGCTGACAGAGCATGAAACCAAGACACAGAGGGTCAAGACAACGAGGACAGAGACACCTACGTGATACCCCAATCCACTCAACCCCTCCTTCTTGCTAAGAGATGCCTGTTTTGTTAGGGGTTGTATTTCCAGACTCCTTGCAGATATCAAGGAACCATGTTACATGGTTCTGACCTATGAGATGCTAACAGAAGTGTCTGGATGGGGCTTCTGGGAAAGCTCCTGAAAATTTTCCAGCCTTCTTTTTCCACTTCATCCAACTGGAATCCAGATGAAAAATCTGGAGGTAGAGCAAGCATCTTGGGCCATGAGGTAATCATAAGGAAAAGGAAAGACAGCCACGGAAACCTTGTTTCTGAAATCCTTGAAGTGAGGAAATGATGCCAACAGCTGCCCAGCTCTTCACCTCTCAGGATGAGGGATGAGCAATATCCCCTGATTTAAGTCCAAGTTGGTAGAAGAGGAGGTTCTGACATTTGCGGCTGACTCTAGAGATTTTGCCTCAAGACAGAAGCCCACCATCATCTTCCCAGAATATCTAACATTGCAAGTAGGGATGGGATGTTCCAGGGTTAATTTCCCCTTTGACCAGGGGATGCTGGGAGGTGGCAAGTGACGCACCAAAGGTCACAAGCTCTTAACACCAGAGCGCCAGCCCCACCTTGCCCAGGACTGAGCAGGATCACTCTGTCACCCAGTGGGTGCAGAGATCGACCCCCACCTCCTGAATGAATTCTCTGGATTCACTGGGTGAGCAGGAGCTGTCAGGACCTCAGTTTTCTCATCTGTAAAATGAGCAAAAAGTTGGACCAAGACAGTCTATACAAACACTGGCAATTTAGCATTCCCTACTCCATCTGCTTTTCCGAAAAGTCCTCTGTGATAATTCAGCCCATTACCTGATTTCTGGGGTTAGTTTGTCTCCCGTAGGGGCTAGACTAAAGGGAAGTGATTGGGGACACCCTAATTTTAAAATGAAAAAGGAGGCCAGAATTGAGAGTTTTCTAAGGGGACTAGGATTGGGTACAAATATGTCAAACGGGTTTTTCTCACATGATAAATGTGAGTGATTGGCAGCAACTGCCTGGACTGGTTTTGAGAAGGACTGTGAGGTCCTTTGAGGTCCTTGGGGAGGGGAGGGGCTTGGTGGTTGATTATTGATGTCTGCCGCGGATGCAGCCACGAGAGTAGATGCCCGTGTATTTCATGCTGAACCTGCGCCCACCGCTCACAGCCTCATCACCTCTCCTCTGTTGCTGACCCAGACAGGTGACAATCCTATTGGAGTGAGAGGAACACGGGGAGCCCCAACTCCAGTAGCTGAGTTCCCACGAGAGAAGGAATTAGGGCACAGTCCTGACTGGGCCAGGGATGTGAGAGCCTTGCTGGAGGTCACTGTTTGCCCCTAGTGGGACACACAGATAATAGACCCTCAAAGGAAACCATGAATTCACAGAGCAGGCAGGGACCTCTCCCCTCCCCACCCCACCCGCATGGCCCAGACAAGGCCACCCTGGGGGCAGGGAGTCCTGCATCAGGGGATCGAAAGACACCTAAGGAGGGTAACGGCAGCTTTGATCAGGCTCCCCTGTGTTCTGTCTTCCTTCCCCTCCCCTTCCCTCCCCCCCACTTCTTCATCATCTTCCTCGTCTCTCTCCCCCCCGGCCCCATCACTTTGTCTCTCTCTCTCTCCCCCCTCTCTTTCTCCCTCTCTCCCTGTCTCTGTCTCTTACACACATTGCACATGTGTGTGCACACACACAGACACACACCACTGGGCTGGGCAGTGAACTTGACACATTTTACCACCTCTCACACTCCGGGGGACAGAAAAAAATAAATGCACGAAGGTCCCATCACTACACCTTTCTCAAAAGGCACGTGAAAGCTCTTCGAGATTGGTCCTCAGGAAGCTAGAACATCATAAAATTCATAATTATCTGCACCTACTTTTAAGCAAAAGAGATGACACTTGAGAAGCACCAGTTCACAATGGTTATGTCATATCACAACTGTCTTTATAGGAAAGTAATGAAAATATCAATTCTTTTTTTAAAAAAAAGTTATGCAAACAAGCTCTATGGTATCAAAATTTTAAAAATATAAGTTCATTCCCTCCCGCCAGCCCACACATTACAGTTTCTCCCTCCCTGACACGTAGGACACGTGACCCCGCTGAATTCATGTCCCTCGAGCCTTTTTGAAGTTACAGATTTGGTGGGGGGCCACAGTGAGCCAGGCACCACCCAGAGGCAGCAATGACCAGGATCGGCTCTGGCCCTAGCCGCCGCCGCTGTGTGGCTCTGGGTAAGTTACCTCCCCTCTCTGGGCCTCCGCCTGCGTGGAGATGTTCAAAGGTCCCGCCACAGTGCTGACCTTCTCAGGCTGGAATGACACAGCCCAGTGAGGATCTGGGCTCAGCCGCCTGGGCCTGAGGTCTTGGTTCATGCAGCCCCAGATTTTCCCATGGAGAATGGCCTTGTGGCTTGGTTTCTAAACATCTTGAGGAAAGTATGCGTTCTAAGCCAGCCTGGAGGGCTCCTCTCTGCAACCCTGTTTTCCTGCCCTGTGAGTGTCCAGCTCTTCCCAGTTATAGGGAGGCCTGGGTCACTGCGCCGAGAGCCCTGAGCAGGCTGGGCCTGCGAGGCCCAGAGGGCAGTGTGGGGGTGGGGTGCACAGTGCTGGGAGCCTGGGCCCTCCGGGGTCTTCAGCTTCCCCTCTGTTTAAAGGCCTTTCTGGGTCTGTGACACTGATTTCAAAGGCCTGAGGAATCCCCTCTTGGTCTCCTATGCGTAGCTCAACAGACAAAATCAATCAGTAAAGAGTGAGCCCTAAGCATTTTGAAAAAGGAAACTTTAGTGTTGACTTGGGGAAAATAGGATCCAGTGATGAAACACTTAGGAACCATTCCAGAACTCCCTGGGGAGGAAGGGATGTATTGGGTGGCCCAAAAGTTCATTCAGGTTTTTCCATCAGATGTTACAGACAACCCAAATGAAGTTTTTGGCCAATTCAACATTTCCAGCCTCAAGGCCCAGGTGGCTCATGGGCCCGATTGCCAAGCCCTCACAGACAGGGCCTGGTTTGGGGCATCTGGACCCTGTGTCCCTTGTGGGCACGTGTGTGGGACATTCATGGCCCAGAGGACCCAGCTCTCTCCAAAGTCCCTTCTGGGAGGAGGAGAGAACCCTTCAGACTGGCTGAGCCCTGCGGATGACCCCTCCTGTCTGTCTTGGACCCCTGATCTCTGGTCCCTGGTGGGTCAGATGCTTCCCTCTGTCCCTTCAGCCGGAGCCGTAGATGATGAAAAACTCAGCCTCAGTGTGACGAAGGTAACACATCTTTCCAGCACTGTCAGGCACCTGGGTGCTACACACAGTGTGCTTAGCCTTCTGCGTGGGAATCTTAACAATGAGCTCCTTCTCCTTCATTTTCTCCCGGAGCAGAGCAGAGAACATGGGCAGCATGGCCTAACCATTCCCTGAAGACTCAGACCATGGGCCTTCCTCACTGGTCTGGGCTACCGGAGCTCCCGAGGTCCCCCTTCTGCTGCGTTTTCTTAGCTCTGGGTCTGCTCTTTGGAGTTCTTCTTTCCTCCATTAATTTCACTCAGTCGCTTGCCACTTTCACTGCTGCTCCTGGGCCAGCCCGGAATCAGCCCTTTTTCTTCTTCTCACCCACACCATCTAGTCTGCAGTCATTCTGAAGTCCAAATGAGCACAGCTGCTCTGACTGTGCCCAGACCAAGAGTCCCTGGGCTCTGAGTGACGGCCAGAGCCGTTCTTCTGTGTCAACGGCTCAGAGTCCTCTTCATGAACATCTGGATGTGGGGCTTGGTTTCTTGGATAGGAGATGGTCATACAAACGACATGTTCTTGTCCCTGCTTTCCAGGGCTGACTGCAGACCAACGCCAAAATGCTACAAGATCCCACTGGACAAAAACACTGCTGGGAATTTTCCCAATGACAAATAGAGGTCATATGTGAAATGATACATACTGAGCATATAAAAATGATGGCTATGCATTATCCCCTAAGTCACACATAATACACATTTAGTATAAATAGACTGAGACAATACTGTATAAAAAAGTAATTTTGTTCTGGGAACATCGATATAGTATTTACAGGGATGCAGCCCAGTGGGCTCTGGCCTGCCTCTGTTTCCAGGTCCCCCAGCATCCTCCAGAGGAGGCTGGGGCTGCTGGAAGTTTGGAGAAGAGCGTCCACCAAGCGCCCCCGGTGGTGGGGAGGGGGCTAGGTGGGCGGGGGGCCGTCGTAGCGGAGCATGAGCATGAAGGAGCGGGCAAAGTTGTTGGCCAGGAGGCAGCTGCGGTTCTCTTCCCCGACCGGGAGCAGGAAGAGCAGCAGCAGGAAGAGCAGGAGCAGCAGCTGCAGGGGGAGCGCCACGCAGCACACCTTCCGGCAGAGAGAGCCGAGCCCTCGCCACTGCGCGGTCTGCAAAACCAAAGTGGAAGACATGAGTGGGCTCGGGGCTGGGGGGCTCGGGGCTCGGCACGGGAGGGGAGGGAAGGGGAAGGCCCCCCTCAGGCGACATGAGGGGGCCACACTGGCTCCGGGCTGACTCTCCAACTGCACCCAGCCTCGGTTTTCCCATCTGTGAAGTGGGGCTAATGTCCGTTCTCCCAGAAACAAAGATCTCTAGTTTTCTCAAACCACTCAAGGCAAGAGAAGAAGAGGATAAAACAGTTACAGGTTTTTGTCCATTGTCACGTAAATCTTTGCCTGGTTTATAAGAATCCTGGGTGTGAATCTGAGGCAGGTCACTCAAACTCACTAAACTTCAGATCTCTCATCTATAAATAGGGGGAATAATGGCACCTATCTGACAGCGCTGTGAGGATTCCGTGAAACAAAGCCTGGCACAGAGCAGAGACTCAAAGCTGCTACCGTTACTATTATTATGCATCATTACTGTGGTCATCTTCTTTGGTGTATGAGTTTGGCTAATGGGGTGAAGCTACCATCCGTGGGGTTATGACTAAAGACCTCTATGTCAGAATCCCTCCCAGGCAAGACCATACAGCAGCCCTGCAGGGCCCCACCTGGCCTTGGATAGCCAGTGGCCCTCTGGGCTCACCATGCACCCCAATGCAGAGCCTCCCTCTTCCCAGGAAAAATGGGGTGCTGGTGAAAGGAGGCTGTCCCCTCATCTGTTACAGAAGACACATTCAAGGGGGGGAAAGTCAGCTCTTAGCACAAGGGTTTGAAAAGATAACAATAAAAAAAAACAAAAATTATCGCCACGATCTAAGTCACAGTCACCACCATCGCCACCATAATCATCATTATGATCACCATCACCACCATGACCACCACCATCACCATCGTTGCCACCAGGTTCATCATTGTGTTCTCCATCATCACTTTCTTCATCTTCTCTTCCTCTCTCTCTCCCTCTTTCTTCTTCTTTTCCTCCCTCTCCTTGTTCCTCATCACCATCTTCATCATCAACAACCTCACATGTCCAAATACCTAATGGGTTTCTTTGCGGCAATACCCATGAAAGCAGCCAAAGGATATTACCCAAATTCTTGAGGGACTGGCTGAGTTGCAGCTTCATGGGAGTGCAGGGCCAAGAGCTGGCCACTCAGTAAAGTGGAGGCCCCACCATCAAGGGACAGCATGGTGCAGGGCAGGGGCCAGCTCTCAGGAACTTGGCCATCTAGGCTTCAGTGCAGACTGTCCCACAATCACTATGTGCCTTTGGGCAAGTCAATAACTTCTCTGAGCCTCAGTTTCCTTCTCTGCAAAATGGGGATAAAACACCTACCTCTATTTTCCAGGTTTTGGTGAGGACTCAAAGAAAAGTATATTTATACACCAATTAAAAAGTATATATGATCTTATGACTAGTACTATTATTATAGAATATATCTACTAGCTCTGTGAGGAACCAAGGAGTCATTTTCCAGGGTATCAAGTCAAGTGATGATGATGATGATGATACTGATGATGGCCATGAGGATGAGGAGGACCGTGTTGATAATGGTGAGGGGGATGATGATGGTGATGACAGTGACGCTGATGATGGTACATGTGTTGATATATCAGTGATGCTGAGGAGGATGATACTGATGGTGATGATGCTGGTGAGGATGAAGATAATGATGGTGGTGAAGATGCTGGTAAGGATGATGGCAGTGAGGATGGTGGCGATGGTGGTGGTGGGCATGATGGTAATAGGAAATACACAGGTGTTCCTGGGATGTTCTGACCTGAGCACTTCCGCCTCTCTCCCTCATGCCTGAACGGTCTCACCCGTACTCCTGCCCCAGCTATCTCATCCAGGTTGATAACACTTGACCCTATGCCTCCAGCTTTGGGTGTTCTCACTCACCAAAGATCCCAGACACTGATTTTGTAAACAAACAAAGAAACAGACTTCCTATAACCCACACAACGGAGAAGCACTCCTGGTTGGGTTTATCTCAGCAGCGGCTTCAGGAGTGTGTGCATGTGTGTGTGTGATAAGTCGTTTAAACAGCTGCATGGTCACAGAGGAGACAGACTTTCCCATAGTCTGACCCTGACCAGCAGGGTCAGATCTGGCTGCCAAGGGCTCTTGACCCCCCCATGGGGCTCACCTACTGATGCCTCAGTCTGTGGGTAGTCTAACTTGACTGCTTGACATTTCATGCTGACTTTGCCCGACTCCAAATCTCTGACCCACCCAGGAGAGCGAAAGAGGGTGAGATGTAGGTACACCCTAACCTAGGTTCACACTACAATTGAAAACCTGTAATTAATGGTCTCCCCAGTGGAGGTGGACTTCCCAGGTGGCACTAGTGGTAAAGAACCCACCTGCCAATACACGGGATGTAAGAGACATGGGTTCGATCCCTGGGTCAGGAAGATTCCCTGGAGAAGGAAATGGCAACCCGATCCAGCATTCTTGCCTGGCGAATCCCATGGACAGAGAGGATCCTGGCAGGCTACAATCCAGGGGGTCACAAAGAGTCAGACCCGACTGAAGTGACTTGGCAGTCAGTGGAGATCTGTGTCTAAGGGTCCTGTTTTTGTTTTCCTCTCCCCGCTCAGAGCTACTACCTTGCTTATGTAAGTGAGGGTTTTGCCTTGGCCACAATCATCTGGGGCAAATGTCTTTGAAGGTCCAAAGTTCTCTTGCATTTACAAGTGTTGACAAGGAATGGTCTTTTTCAAGGACTGCTGCTGCCAGCCATGTGTCTATTCACTTAGACCTCACATCTTCACTTGGAGGGACCTGGATTCTAAAATCCCCTTTAAAATTGAAGGCACATTTTAATAGTATTATCACATGCTTAGAAAACACATATGTGTGTGCACACACAGAGACACAGTTACACACAGACACACACATAAATAGGCATGAACTACTGTCTAAGAAGCCAACAAAGAAATTGACCATCTCAGCTCTTCTCAGATCTGGGAGCTTCTCTGTGCCTGAGTTTCCCCATAGAAAGTACTACATGTATTCTGTGCAGTTACAACTATCCACAGAGAGAAAGGGGCTGAAACTTCCCTGGAAGGCCAGTGGTTAAGAATCTACCTTCTAATGCAGCGGGATGTGGTTCAATCCCTGGTCAGGGAACTAGGATCTCACATGCAACTGAGCCCGTGTGCTGCAACGACTGAGTCCACATGCTCTGAAGCCCATGTGCCATGACTAGAGAGAAGCCCATGTGCTGCAAAGGATCCTGCATGCTGCAACCAAGACCCGATGCAGCCAAAAACAAAGGAAATCAACCCTGAATATTCACTGGACAGACTGATGCTGAAGCTCTAATACTGTGGTCACCTGATGCGATGAGCCAACTCATTGGAAAAGACCCTGATGCTGGAGAAGATTGAAAGCAGGAGGAGAAAGATTGAAGACAGAGCACGAGATGGTTGGGTGACATCACCGATTCAATGGAGGTGAGTTTGAGCAAACTCCAGGAGATGGTGAAGGGCAGGGAAGCCTGGCATGCTGCAATCCAGGGGGTCACAAAGAGTTGGACACAACTGAGCAACGGAACAACAACAACACAAAGAGAGAAGGGGCTTCCTCAGGACATTCCCCACCGCTTAGGGTGTGGAAGTAGAGGGTCGACAGCATGTGGTGGGGGAGAGGGAACAGGTCATATTACAGAGGGTGATTAAATGCTTGAGTCCTTCAATACCTCCCATGAACCTGGGGCTCTAGAGTTTTGAGGAATCCTGGCAGGAAGAATTTATCACAGTAAGGGTGATTGAATCTCCTGCCACTGATGAAAAAGGATGTGGGGGAAAGAAATGATTTGGAGTCCTGAGTTCTAAGCCTGGCCCTGTCACTTCCTAACTGTGTGGCCTAGGACAAGTCACTGAGCCTCTCTGAGCCTCAGAGGCTTCTTCTACTAAGGCAAAGGGAGTCTGACTCCTGCCTACCAGAATCACAAAGATAAATGAGGCAGCACAGGCGACGCTCACATGCATAGTTGGTGCTTGGCAAATACTCATTCCTTTCCTCCTCCAACTGAGGGGACCCAGGGCAGATGGCTGGTTTCTACAAGCCCCCTAAGCTTCCCCTGCACCCAGGTTCCAAGGACCAGATACTGTCAGCCTCCTCGGCCCCATCAGAGAGAAAAACACTGCTCTCCCTAAACACCCGCTCCTGGCCCCTTAAAGGCCCTCACATCCTCTGACCACAGGGCCTTTGCAAAGCTTACACTTTCCGCTGGAAGACCCATTTCCTTTCTTTCTCCAAAGCATCTAGTTCACTCCTACTGATTATTCTAATCTCAACTTGTGAGTCACTTCCTCAGAGGGAACTTCCCTGCCTCTTAACCAAAAAAAAGTCCTTTTACATATTCTCATGGGCCAACACCTTTCCTTTGGGTTACTGATTTCAAAGTCTGTGTTCCCCTTCACTCCCTGGAAGAAGGGTCTACACTAGTTTGAACCATTGCTATATCTGCAGCAATGTTTGGTAAACATCTGCCCAATTAATGAAATAAAAGGCTCTTCCCCTTCCTGGGCGTCTGGTGGTCTGCTCCTCCCTTGGTGCTGTGATGTGATCAGGTTCACACCCACTGACCTGTCTGTGAACTGTCCGCACCATCCCAATGGCTCCCCCAGAACATCTGGACTCCGCACGTTAATGAACAACACCAAGCATGCTCCAGCCCCACATTCAGCGCACCTCCACGCGTGCGGGTTTCCTGAGCTGCTGCCCAGCTCTGGAGGTACCCTGTGCCCATTTCTCAGATGAAGAAACTGAGTCCATGGGAAATAAGCAGTCCAAGGCCACAGGGACAGGCTCAAACCGTCAGCACAGCTCCTTCTACCACCCTACATGGCACTTCTCATAAGAAATAGCAGCAAAGACTTCCCTGGTGGTCCAGTGGTTAGGCGCCTGCCTGCCAATGCAGGGAACACAGGTTTGACCCCTGGTCCAGGGAGATCCAACATGCTGTGGGGCAGCTAAGCCCGTGTAC